TGGGTGGGGGAACCGCATGCGAACACCCCCACTGGGGCCTTCGGTGGAGCTCCCTATGGGGCCACGAAACGCTGCCCTGGGTGGGGGAACCGCATGCGACCACCCCCACTGGGGCCTTCGGTGGAGCCCCCTATGGGGCTACGAAACGCTGCCCTGGGTGGGGGAACCGCATGCGAACACCCCCACTGGGGCCTTCGGTGGAGCTCCCTATGGTGCCACGAAACGCTGCCCTGGGTGGGGGAACCGCTTGCGAACACCCCCACTGGGGCCTTCGGTGGAGCTCCCTATGGGGCTACGAAACGCTGCCCTGGGTGGGGGGACCGCATGCGAACACCCCCACTGGGGCCTTCGGTGGAGCTCCCTATGGGGCCACGAAACGCTGCCCTGGGTGGGGGAACCGCATGCGAACACCCCCACTGGGGCCTTCGGTGGAGCTCCCTATGGGGCCACGAATCGCTGCCCTGGGTGTGGGAACCGCATGCGAACACCCCCACTGGGGCCTTCGGTGGAGCTCCCTATGGGGCCACGAAACGCTGCCCTGGGTGGGGGAACCGCATGCGAACACCCCCACTGGGGCCTTCGGTGGAGCTCCCTATGGGGCCACGAAACGCTGCCCTGGGTGGGGGAACCGCATGCGAACACCCCCACTGGGGCCTTCGGTGGAGCTCCCTATGGGGCTACGAAACGCTGCCCTGGGTGGGGGAACCGCATGCGAACACCCCCACTGGGGCCTTCGGTGGAGCTCCCTATGGGGCCACGAAACGCTGCCCTGGGTGGGGGAACCGCATGCGAACACCCCCACTGGGGCCTTCGGTGGAGCTCCCTATGGGGCCACGAAACGCTGCCCTGGGTGGGGGAACCGCATGCGAACACCCCCACTGGGGCCTTCGGTGGAGCTCCCTATGGGGCTACGAAACGCTGCCCTGGGTGGGGGAACCGCATGCGAACACCCCCACGAGGGGGAGGAGGAGAGGAAGGAGGGGAACGCGGGGCACCGTCTCTTCAAAACGAGGACCCAACACCACAGGATGGTTGGGGAAAAAAAAAAAAAAAAAAAACCTTGTGTTTTTTGTGTTTGTTTTGTTGTCTTGGTTTGTTTTTGTTTTGTTGCTCAAATATTTTCCCAGATAACCGACTCCCACAACAGTGCAGCTCCTCACGCAGGCTCGTGAGTCTGGCCAGGGGCGTCGCTGGAGTCTCGGGCGCGGGCGCCCTCTCCGAGCAGCCGCCGCCCTCCGTCCAGGGCAGCTGTACGCCGTGGTCAGGCTTCTGATGCTGTTGAAGTTCCGCGAGGGCTCAACACCAACAGAGGGGGGGTGCCTCCACAGGGGGGAGATGATCCTAGATTTCGGTGTTGCTGGTAATATTTCGGTCGCCTTGGAAGCCAGAATATTACCACCATCACCGAGATCGGGATCGTCTTCCCTCGGTGGAGGCACACATCCGATCTTGGTGTTGGTGGCAACCCCTAGGCCTGCGATGCAAAAGCGAACGCCCGATTCTGAAAGGGAGCCGCCCTTTCTCCGTGCAGCTGCCTCGTGCGCCCCATGCAAGGAACCAAACTCTATACACCGACGCTTTTCTTCCGGCCATGCACTGAAGTTTCCACAGGAAAGAGGATCCTGGTGCATACGGGACCCTGGAGTACAGATTTCCCGTTGTTTCCCAAGGATACGGATAAAAAGGTATACACCACACCACCCCGACGTCGTCCCCGGCCCTCCAAAAGTCCTGGGCTTGAAAGCTGGCCCGCCACTGGTAATGTATATGCTCCAACTTCCGACCATGTCCCGGCTTCTGACCTGGGACAAGTCCGCAGCGAACACACCACTTCGAACAGGAGCTGCCACTCCTTCCTGCAGCCGCTCGGGGCCTCTCTACGACGAGGGCGCGTGACGCCAAGGCGAGGCCCAATTCTGAAGACAAGCTGCCCTCCGCCTATTGAGACCAATGTGCGCGGCGCTGAGGTGAGTGCCACTCTGAAAAAGAACCTACCTCCATCATCGAACCAGAATGGAAGGACGGATGCGCGCGGCTCTAAGGCGAGAGCTCCATGCTGAAAACCAGCCTTCTGCATCCTTGAACTGCCGCACGCTTTTTTAAGACGGATATGAGCGGCGCTCGGACGAGAAGCAACACTTTGAAAACGCCCCCCCTCCATCCCTGAAGCCGCTGCAAACGTTTCCAACGAATGTGTGCGGCGATCGGGCGAGAGCCACATCTTGAAAACGAGCCCGCCTCCATCCTCGAAGCTGGTGCGCGTTTTTGGGGGACGAAGGCGCGCGGCGCTAAGGCGAGAGCCGAGAGCCACGTGTTGAAACCGACCCCCCTCCATCATTGGAACGGCTGCAAGCTCTTAGGACGAGTGCGCGGCGCTCAGGAGAGAGCCGCATGTTGAAAACAATCCTCCCTGCATCCTTGAAGCTGTTCCAACTTTCAAGTTTCAGTTCCATCAACGATGAGGAGGTCGCTGGCGAAACGCCCAGCCCGCCCACCACTTGTGTGTCAGCCGTAGTGCGAGTGCATCGGAGCGTGGGTGATCTGAGCGAAGGAGTCGGAGTGTGAGTGGACCTGGGCACCATTGAGTCTGAGAATGAGTGGGTCTGGATATACTCAATCTGATAACGAGATCTGAATATGAGTGAGTCTGAGCGCGAGCGAGTCTCTAAGTGTGAATGGTTCTGAGTTCATCCTCCCCCTCCTCCTCTTCCTCCTCCTCCTCCTCTTCCTCCTCCTGCTCATCATCCTCCTCCTCTTCATCCTCCTTATCATGTTCCGGTTCCTCCTCCTCCCCTTCCTCCTCCTCCTCCTCCTCCTCCTCCTCCTCCTCATCATCATCATCATCATCAGTATCATCATCATCATCATCATCATCATCATCATCATCATCATCATCATCATCATCATCAACATCATCATCAGCATCATCATCATAATCATCCACAGCAACAGCATCACATCATCATCATCATCATCATCATCATCATCATCATCATCATCATCATCATCATCATCATCATCATCATCATCATCATCATCATCATCATCATCATAATCATCATCATCATCATCATCATCATCATCATCATCATCATCATCATCATCATCATCATCATCATCATCATCATCATCATCATCATCATCATCCCCTCCTCACCGCCCCTCCTCCTCCTCCTCCTCCTCCTCCTCCTCCTCTCCTCCTCCTCCTCCTCCTCCTCCACATCCTCCTCCTCCTGATCATCATCATCATCATCATCAGCAGCATCATCACCATCGTCATCATCAGCAGCAGCATCATCATCATCAACAGCAGTATCATCATCATCATCCGTCATCATTAACAACAAGAATATCAGCATCACCATCAGCATCAACATCATAATCATAATCATCAGCAGCATCAGCAGCAGCATCAGCAGCAGCATCATCAGCATCATCAGCAGCATCATTATAATCGTTATCAGCATCATCAGCAGCAGCATCATCAACATCATCACAATAATAAGCATAATCATCATCACCATCAGTATCATCATCATCAACAACATCATCAGCAGCAGCATCATCACATCATCATCATCATCATCAGCAGCAGCAGCAGCATCATCATCACCATCAGCATCCTCATCACCATCATCATCATCGTCATCATCATCAGCATCGTCAGCAGCCTCATCATCATTCGCCTCAGCCTCCCTGCTCACTCCTCCCTGCTCTTCTTCGCCGCGCTAGGGCTGATGCCAGGACAACTCGCCTGATAATCTTTTTCTGGATGAGCTGGTGGGGAAGTACGGAGCTTCATGAACTGCCGATGGCTGGGCGGAGCTGCACCGCCATGCCCCTCCAGCATCGCGCCGCACTCGTCCGCCGACCGGGCAACGGCCAACCAGAGGACCCGCGTGGTACCAGAAGCGCGGCGAACGCCCAAACCCCGCCCTGGCCTTGACCACGAGCTGCAACCCCTCAGGGCACCCGCTGCTGCCGCCCTCGGAGGCCCTCGCGCGCCACTCTCAACTGCTGTCCCATGCAGGCAGAAGGAGACGCTCCCCGAGTCAACCCAGACCCCCCCCCCCAAGAGGCCCCCAAAAGAGGCGCCGAAGGGGCCCCTCAAGAGGCCCCTCGAGAGGCCCCTCGAGAGGCCCCTCGACAGGCCCCCACCAAGCCCCCGAGAGACCCCCAACAGGCACCCAAGTGGCCTCCAAGAGGCCTTGCAAGAGGCTCCCCCGAGAGGCACCCGAGAGGCCCACAATAGGCCCCTCACAGACGGGAGGCTCCCAGCAGGCTCCGAGGGGCCCCCAAGAGGGTTGGCACCAGGAGGGCCCGACTGAAGCAAGATGGCCGTCGAGATTGATTGTGATGCTGGGATCTGAAGCCTCCAGATGTCCCCCGAGGCTTGAGAAAGTCCCTAGAGTTCCCCAGAGACCAAAAGTTATCCTGGCGACAGACTGGACCATATGCAAGTGTGAGTACCGTCAGCATGAGTATCGCCTTCGGCGCCAAGCGAACCCGTCATTTGGGCCTTAGCTATGGCCCCTCTTGAGGCCACCAATCGTGTGAGGGGTTTGCCGAGACAAAATACCGACGCCATGCGAACCCTGACGTGTGGGCCTTAGCCGGGGCTCCATATGGGGTCATGAAACCTGCGAGGGTGTGTGCCGAAATGAAATGCCGCCACCGAGATGCACGGACGCCGTGAGGACCCTGGCATTTGGACCTAAGCTGGAGCTCCATATGGGGCCACGAAGTAAGGCACCAGCGCCATGCGGACCCTGGCACCTGGGCCTTGCCACGAAGCGTGTGAGGGGTGTGCCGGCATGAAGCACGGACGCCATGCGAACCCTAGCATTTGGGCCGTAGCTGGCGCTCCTACTGGGCCACGAAACGTGGTGAAGGGTGTGCCAACATGGATGCGGCGCCGCCATGCGGACTGTGCCACTGAGGGCTTCGGTGGAGCTCCCCGGGGCCGCGAAACGTGTGACGGGTGTGCCGAAATCAGGCACCGACGCCATGCAGACCCTGCCATTTGGGCCGTCACTGGAGCTCCCCAGGGAGCTACGAAGCGTGTGAGGGGTTTGCCGAAATAGAATACCGACGACGTGCGGACCCTGACGTGTGGGCCTTGTCTGGAACTCCCCATGGGGCCACGAAACGTGTGAGGGGTGTGCCGAAGCGAGCAACCGACGCCGTGCGGGCCAGGAATGAACCTGGGAGCTCGAAAACAGCGGAAAAAACAGGACCCCTTTTTACCGGGGCCCCTTCCTTGACACCCGACGATTCGCTTTTCAAATCTGGCGGCTCCCCTGGTCTCGACCCCTTCCCTGGGGGAGTTCTCTGCCCCAGGACCATTGCTGAGGCTCGCTGTAGAAGAAGAAAGCCTGGCTAGTCGAACTGGCAGGTCCAATCTGGTAATCTGGCGAGGAAGTCAATCTGATCCCAATCTGGCGAACAAAGACAAACTCCAGCCTGCACCAGGCCAGCGCCGGATTGGAGTGCACAGGAGGCTGATACCCAGATGGGTCAAGCCGAGTCAAGTCAAAGTACGCCTTGCACCAGACGGTGGGTGAGCAGGGGTGGAAGTCCAAATCTGCCAGTCTGGCCTTCGACTGCCCAGAAGCAGGGACTGAAAAAAAGACGGCCCGCCAGAGGTCCGGGCCCCTCCACGCCGACCATCGCCTCCCTCGGGGGGCGTCCCGGGGGTGGAGGGCGGGGGGGGGATGTCCAAGAGGGGGCTTCGCAGACCATCTATGGCCCGAGGCACGTGCACGGCCCAGGGGGGGGAATACCAGGGGACCCGTTGAAGGGAGAAGGGGGGACCACGAAATCCGAGGAGAGATCATGGCCCCCGCCACGATACCCAGGCCGGGCGAAAGGGGGGGATAGCGAAGGGGGGGGGTGAGAATCAGCTCACGTAGCTGATTTTCCTGGCGCCTCCCGGCGCCGGGAGGCGCCCATGTATCGAGGAATGGGCCCGGCGGCGGGGCCGAAACCAGCTGCATGCAGCCGATTTCGTAACCCCCCCTTTCCCTATCCCCCCCTTTCGTGCGGCCCGAGATATCTGCCCCCCGCCACTGGTCCTCACCGCCCTCTTCGTGGACGCCTGCACCTCCGGGGAGCTGGGATCCCCACCAGGCCGGGAGGGCCTCATGGTGGGGCATAGGGGCCGAGGTGGGGCCGGAGGAAAAATTCCTCTCCAAGCGGCCCGTGCAGGACGGAGACGTGACTGTCCAGCTGGCAATGTTCCCTGACCCCACCTTCGGGTATGGACAGAGCCCCCATGTAGCAAAACGTGGTTTAGTGAACACGACCTCGGGCCCCAACCTGGCGGGCGCAGGCCTGGAAAACGACGGCCGCGGCGCCCCCTCGAGAACCGAAAACGGACAACTCACTCATCGACGTGTCAGGGTGGGCGTTCTGCCCACCCCCGACACCTTGGGATAACCCCTCCTCCTCCTCCACTCCTCCTCCTCCTCCTCCCCTTCCTCCTCCCCTCATCCCTCCGCCTCCTCCTCCCCTCCTCCTCCTCCTCCTCCTCCCCTCCTCCTCCTCCTCCTCCTCATCCTCCTCCTCCTCCTCTCTTCTCCACCTCCTCCTCCTCCTCCTCCTCCTCCTCCTCCTCCTCTCCTCCTCCTCCTCCGTCCTCCTCCGGCCTCTCCTCCTCCTCCTCCTCTCTCCTCCCTCCTCCTCCTCCTCCCTCCTCCTCCGCCTCCGCCTCCTCCTCCGCCTCCTCCTCCACCTCCTCCTCCTCCTACCTCCTCCTCCCCTCCTCCTCCCCTCCTCCTCCTCCTCCTCCTCCTCCTCCCCCTCCTCCTCCTCCTACCTCCTCCTCCTCCCTCTATCCTCCTCCCCTCCCCTCCTCCTCCTCGCCGCCTCCGCCTCCGCCTCCCCGCCTCCGCTCCGCCTCGCCGCGCCGCCGCCGCCTCCGCCGCCGCCGCCTCCGCCTCTCCGCTCCTCCTCCTCCCTCCTTCTTCCTCCCCCTCCTCCTCCTCCTCCTCCGCCGCCGCCGCCGCCGCCGCCGCCGCCCTCCTCCTCCTCCTCCTCCTCCTACGAACCCTCGACCCCCGGGAGCCTGCGGCCTCGTAGACGTGCGTGGCCTGGGTGCGGCCGTGATCGCGCGCGAGCGCGCGGGCCCGCGCCGACCGGCCGGACGCCGACGCCGACGCCGGCGGCGGGGGAGCACGCACTCGCTGCGGCTCAGGAGGAGGAGGAGGAGGAGGAGGAGGAAGGGAGGAGGAAGGGAGGAGGACGAGGAGGAGGAGGAGGAGGAGGAGGAGGAGGAGGAGGAGGAGGAGGAGGAAGGGAGGAGGAGGAGGAGGAGGAGCACTCGCTGCGGCTCACCTGCGCCCCCCTCCGCCTTTCCAGACCGCCGACGCCGCGGATCGGGGCTCAGAGATGGACGACGACGACGACGACGACGACGACGACGACGACGACGACGACGACGACGACGACGACGACGACGACGACGGCGCGGTCGGATGATATGACAAGCGGTTCCTTCGGCAATATCAATCTGGCCCTCGTTCCGTTCGAACAAGTGACTGGAGCATTCGGATGCTGCACCAACGCTGGCCACTCTCCCCGGTTCTCGAGGGGGGAGGGGCGGCCGACGAAGACGAAGGCAGAGGTGGGAATTCATATTGGAGCCCACGGCACTCTTGCTATTGGCCACCATGTGGTCCTCGTTCCAGCTGGCCTGCGACTGCCACTTCCCCATTGGCGTGAAGGAGCAACCACTCACCAGTACGAGCTCGACAGCATCCACGTCTCGCTCGCTTCCGATTCGATGTGACAGCTGCAGCAGGCCAAGAGAAAGCTTGAGCATGAAGCGGGATTGACTAGAGGCAACTTGCCCACCGCCCAGCGCGTAGCTGGCTTCCGAAAAGGTAGTCAGTATCCACCTTCGCGAGCTCCAGGGGCGTAATTGTGGTGGGCGCGGCAGCACAGGTCCATGTGCTCCACTCGACTCTCCCAACACACATCTTGGATATGTTGATCCACGCATAACTTGAGCTGATGTGCAGTGACCCGCGCGGCCGACCAGTCCTCGTCCACCATCTCCCTCGCGAGGCCGTTCGCAATGGCCGCAGTCATGTCCGCCATGATGACAGCGTCCCCGAAGTCGACCTTGTCGTTGCCGTTCAGGTCCAAGCCCCTCGCTCTGGCGGCTCGCTGCCAATATCCCGCGACCTCGTCGGCGATCACGGCAGCCACCTTGGAGTCCCCGCGCTGAGGTCTGAGGCCCTGCGGATAGCTGCGAGCTGGCGCCCCCTTCCGGCACCAAAACTGGGACGGCGCCTCTTCCCCACGACTCCCTCTGAGCCTGGGGGCGACAACGGCCTGCAAGTTCAGAAGTACGCCCGCGGCCTCCACTCCCAGCTCGAACAGGAGCCGAGAGGAGAAGGGAGGGGTCCTGGGCTCCGGCGTGGGAGGGGAACGCCGGCTCACGGGATAGGCCAGCCACTGCCCCTGTGAGCAGAAACTGGCACCTGCGAAGCCTCCGCACCCGTGCAAGCCAGCCACCAGACCCCTTGGGCGCGGCCCAGAAACTGCGCAGACCGATCCTCAGCTTCACCCAGGGGGTCACCTTTGAGACCAGACGCCATCGCGCGTCCGTCGCGAAACCCGCGAGTCGCTCCTCCCCAACGCCGACTGCCCAGTGTAGGTCGTGCGCCAGTTGCTTCGCGAAGGCGAGGTGAAGGAAGGTCGAGAGCTGTAGCGGCGTGAAGCGCCCAGCCTCCGAGCGCCGCTTCACCTCACGGGGGATGTCGCCGAACTCGTAGTGGTCCTTGCCAGTGAACTTACACATCCGGCTTGTAGCTTCCTGGCACAGAAGGCGGCTGATGTCTCCAGGCTGGTAGCGGCTTCTGCCAGTCAGCTTGCAGACCTCCTCCATGACCTTGGAGTCCACCAACCGGGAGAGGTCGCCGAACTGGTAGCTCGGCTTGCCGGTGGCCCTGCACAGCTGATGCTTGATGCTCGTATCCAGCAGCCGCTCGAAGTCGCCCACGTCGTAGTGGTCTTTGCCTGAGCATCGTTGGACCGACCCCCGTCCCCAGCGGCGTGGCCTGGGCCCCACTGGCCGATCTACCCCCTTGGATAGGGGATCTAGGCCGCTCCCTTCGGGCTTCTAGGGGTGCATCCCCAACTGAAATGGTTTGCCTGTTGCCAGGCAGACATTCTGCCGCAGCTCCCTCGCAGCCCACTGGAACAGGCTGCCGGCCTCGGCCCTGGGCCGCTTCCCTGCGGCGCGCCAAGCCAAGGCTCTTCCCCCGCCGACCCGACGCTGCGCAGCAGTCGCCACGCCGCGAGGAACCACGACCGGAGCCCTGCAGAGCCTGCCTGTCTGCGGCACTCCTTCTGAGGCCCCGCCTTCCTGTGCCCTGTCTCCCTAATTAAAGCTGTGCGTAGCCCGCCTAGCTTTTGGCGGAAGAGGTTCGCTCTCGCCCCGCAGATCAAAAACTGTCTGCGGCACTCCTCGGGCCGCGCTGGTATGTCCTGGGCCGGGGCCCCGTGAAGCCAGGCAAGATCGTCCGCTGCGAAGAAGCTGCGGCGCCAAGAACTCACGGAGGCTGGGCCCGCCTCGGGCGGCAACCCGGGCACGCCCCGCGCTGGCCCCGCAGGCAGCCGCGCCCGCAGGCAGCCGCGCGCCCCCAGACCTGCCCACGGCCAGCACGGCGCGTCCCCGGGTGCTCTCGGAGGCTTGGGCATGTGCACCAACACGACCACAGGGGGCTGCCTCCTCCGGGGGCAGGTGATCCTCGGTGTTGGTGGTTCCGAGGAAGCCAGCGAAAATCACCACCATCACAGGGAACGGGAGCATCTCCCTCGGTGGGGACATGCCACCGATACTTGTGCTGGTGGAGGCGTACCACCTGGGGAAACCCAAAGGTACCGATACCTCTACTCCCCGGACCTCTCCTGGGGTGCGCTCTGACCTGGACTTCGAGGCGAATCCAGCGGTGGCGACGAGGGCCTCCCAGGAGGCCGACAAAAGGAGAAAACGGGCCAAGTGTAGCCCGTATGGGTACCTCTTCCTCCTCTGACCACCGATAGCTGTGCCAGTGCCAGAAATCCCTGGGCCTCCGAAATGCTCCGCCCCGCAGGGCCCCCCGCCCGCGCCGTGAGCGCGCCCGAGTCTCAAGTGCCCGCCGGCCGCCCCGCGGCTCCGCGGAGCCGCGCCGGCGGCGAGCGGCGCCGCGCGCGCGGGCCCGGGCGCTGCGAGCCCCGCGGCCCAGGCGGGCCTGGGCCGCGCGCCGGGCCCGGACTGCCTGCGCTGGCGCGCGGGGCGCCGCGCCGTCGCGCGCGCGCGCGGCCCGGGCCAACCAAGCAAAGCTGCACGCCACCGCCGCCGCGGCCGTCCCCGCTTCGGGGCCGTGGCGCGCCGGGCCTGGGCTGCCTGCGCGGGCTCCAGGGCAGCGCGGCGTCGCGCCCGCGGCGCAGGCACGGCAGCTGCGCACCACCACCGCCACTCACGGGCGGCGAGCGGCGAGCAGAAGCCGTATCCGCGCCCTCGCGGTCTGGACTCCGGGGCGCGGTCCCGCGGATGGCAGGGTCGCACGGATACGTTCCGCGCGGGGCATCCGCGAAAGAACGCCACGCATCCGGGAAATCGCGGCCCCGGGGCCCGGCCCGCGAGGCCGTGGAGACCGACACGTGTTTTTCCCCACGAGCCACTGCCGTCCGTGCGTCAGGGCCGTCAGGAGTCGAAGATCAAAGGTCTTAGACGCACTGGGCCATCTTCTGCGCCTCTTGTTGAGGCCTCCAGATGCCGCCAAGGACCTCGGGGGGACCTCTGACGATGTCTGGGTGTCAGGAACTGGGGCGAGACCTCAACGCACGGAAGCTCACGAAAGTGGCGTGGTCCACCATTCCGCTGGACCTGGCAAGAGCCCACGAAAGTGGCGACTGTGGCGCAGTGTGCAGCCCCCCAAGGTGGAGAGGTCTAACTTGAGTCTGCGTAGGGCACCTCTGCCCTGCAACGCCCAGGGGCTCACCGAAGTAAGCGACAGTGGCGCAATTGGCAGCTTCCCAGGGTGGCGAGGTCTAATCTGGGTCTGCGTAGTCCGCCACTCCGCTGGACCTCCCAGGAGCCCACGAAAGTGGCGACAATTGCGCAGTCGGCAGCTCCCCCCCCCGGGTGGCGATGCCTAACTTGGGCCTGCATGGGGCACCACTCCGCTGCACCTCCCAGGAGCTCACGAAAGCGGAGACAGCTGCGCACCTGGCGGCCCCGCAGAGACGGCGCAGTGGCAGGCAGGAGGAGAATGCGAGAGGGGAGGCGGGAAGCGGGGAAGACGAGAGGCAGCAGCGCTCCGTTCCAAAAACGACAGCACAAACACGGGAGGATTGGGAAGAACGATGCTCCTACTCTGAAGTCGGGCGTGTCCCCCTACAGGGGGATTTTGGGCGAAATAAATACTCAACAAATACCCCCCAAATGAGCAAAACTAGTCAAAAGATCGTCCCCAGACTATTGTTTGACAAGTTTTGAATATTCCCCCCCCCCCTGTAGAGGGACAGGCCCGACTTAATCCTACTCCCTGGACCTCTGCTGGGGTGCACTCCGACCAGGAGCTCCGATGCGAACCCAGCCGTGGCGGCGAGGGCTACCCGGGGAAGCCCCGACGACAAAAACAACGGACGGGCAGCGGCAAACCGGTCAGCCGCGATGCCCCTCCTCAAGACCACCAGCCGTGCAGAGTGTTAAGTCGGGCGTCTCCCTCCACAGGGGAATTTTGGACGAAAAAATAACCCCGGAAAATTCCAAAATAGCAAAAAATAGTAATAATATGTTTTTTTTTTCCCGTACTATTTTTATTATTTTTTGAATATTCCTCGTGCAGAGGGACAGGCCCGACTTAATGCAGAGTGGGTCCCTGACCCACCGCGGGGTCCATCCTGGCCTGCGCTTGCCCCAGGGCGATGCCCGAATGCCTCGGGGGGCCCGAGGACGGGCTTCTCCAGGCGCCCGAAGCGGGAAAACGCACAGATCCTCGCGTGTCCTCGGATTCCCCCGACCCTCTGATCTCGGTCCTCGTCTGAGTGTCTCGACTTGCCTCCTCTGCAAGACTGTCCACGACAGCGGGAAACACACAGATCCTCGCACGTCCTCGGATTCCCCCGACCCTCAAATTCTCGGTCCTCGTCTGACTGTCTCGACGTGCCTCCTCTGCAAGACTGTTTACGGCGACGGCGCAGCCGAAAGCAAACCGAGCTGGCGGTGGAATCGGAGCAGGCCGAAACCGACGCGGCAAGGACACAGCAAGGACGCAACGACGCAGCAAGGACGCCAAAACCGACCAAACCGAACCGACCGAATGCAACCGACTGCGACTGGAGGCCTCCGAAATGGGTCCGAGTAGGTGGTATTGGAGGATCGCGCCACACCGCCGATGCATCGGCGGTGCATCGGCGATGCATCGGCGACGTCGGCAGAGAGAAAATCAGGCTCCAAATCGAGCCGCATCGCCGATGCATAGGCGATGCGGCGCAATCCTCCGACCCCATCTACTCGGACCCCATCTAGGAGGCGTAGACTCGCCCAGTTTCCGATCCCCCCTCCTCGAGCCTCCTCCTCCTCCTCCTCCTCCTCCTCCTCCTCCTCCTCCTCCAACTCCCCCCTCCCCCTCCTCTTCCTCCTCCTACTCCTCCTCCTCCTCCTCCTCCTCCTCCTCCCTCCTTCTCCTCCTCCTCCTCCTCCTCCTCCTCCTCCTCCTCCTCCTCCGGCCGCGAGTAGCGTTGCCCGCATTCACTGAAGTCTGAGATAGTTATTGTATGCAGATGCTGAAAGATCAGAAAATTTGTTTGTTCTTTGTTCAGTGCTCGCTGCATACTGTGTCTGTGCATTGTTGTTGCATCCTGTTTCGCAGGTGACAAGCATGTCTTCGAAAAACTTCCTTGAGAAGGAGCGGAATTCTGTGCCGCCAGCAGGTCGAAGAGCCAGGCATACCCCTGGTGCTTCCCTGCGCAGGAGAGCGGCGGAGGCTACGTCCTTCGCCCAATTCGATTAGATATCGACCGTATCCCGTGTCTCACTGTTCTTTGCGTGTATGGGATAGATCCTGACAGACAGCAAGATCAGGTAGTTGAGCCATTATCTGGTGCTTCCCTGGTCAGTAATGGAGTGTCTGAAAGGCCCCCTGAGGGTCGTCGGATTTCTCCCGTGCCGCTGGCGCAGCTGCTCAGAGAGGCAGCCCAAGCCAGGCAGAGGCCGCCCCACCCTAGCGGACAGGTGGCCCGAACTCATCATCCAAGTGCGTGCTGGTCCTCCTCCTCCTCCTCATCCTCCTCCTCCTCCTCCTCCTCCTCCTCCTCCTCCTCCTCCTCATACTCCTACTCGGACCCCATGTCGGGAAGGCGTCAGCTTCACCCCGGGCCCAGGATCGGCGTGCACGGCCTCCTGGCTTTTCCAGAAGGAGGGAGAGCAGGAGGAGGAGGAGGAGGAGGAGGAGGAGGAGGAAGAGGAGGAGG